TCTTCCGATCTAGATATTACTAAATTATATGTATACCTCAAACGAACTTTATTAAAATATTCGCTAAGCCATTTTTTGTAATACATAAATCTTCTGTGTATCACTCATTTACATTAATTTTAATCCTCTCAAAAATATAACTGTTTTTTTAAATTTTAAACCTTAAGTTTAAACCTTAGGTTTTTTATATATATATATGGAAAATACCAATCTGTTAATAATTTCAAAAAACCTAAGGTTTAAACTGTCCATCAGAAATAACATTCACAAGAAGATGCGAATAGAGACATGATAAACCGTTATTTATCCGCGTACATGATATCTCTCCATATCGTACACCAATTTATCTTCGTCAATAATCTGAAACTTACTTGAGAAACGAGGAAAGACGAGACGCGCGAAACTCCGAAATAAAATACATAGGCTCAGTCTATCTTTCGTAGCGTACAAATCTCACACTGTGCGTACGTGACTTGTCCTGCTCCTGATCTTCCCTCACAGTCGACGAAAGTCAGCGTTTCCTCAAGGTGTGCACACTTCGGGATGCCTCGTTATCGGCGACATGCGAAACTCCGATTAAGAGACATGATAAGGGGAATTATGTTCTTTTCGGCGCCAGAAACGTGAAGAGTGTGTGAAAAATGTGTCTGATAAGACGCATAGGACATTATATCAATATATTATTCAAAAGAACATAAAAAAAGAATCAGATTTTAAATAAAAAAAAATGAAATCAGAATGTAGAAAAATAAATGTCAATGATGAAAATTTACATATAAAAGATATAATAATAAGTATGTTCTAAATAGAAAAATTTAATTTGCGCGCGCGCGCGCCTATATAGTTTGTGTTTATATTTTTTGTTTTAAATATTCAAAATAATATCTCGACAGTATATCTTGTTAATCTGGCTAGAACGGAGTCGACACACAGAAGAATAGATGATCAATCAATCTTGTCGCAACGACATAATTGACCGAACAATAGGAACAATACAAAGCGGAAGAAATAATTGAGGAGACCCGGATGGGATGACAAAGGGAAATAAAGAAACGGGAATAAGTAACGAGTCAGATAACGAAGAAGAATAAGCTCAATTAACGGTAACGCCGAACGTGAACGTAATTCCGATGTTTAAAATTCTCATTGGGGACCCAAATAGCGGGTTTCACAAAATACTTCAGAATTATTGTTTGCGATTTTATTTAGAAGTCCGTACGTAATTATCGGTAGCAAACGACTTCTAATTAAACTAAACAAACCGTCGATTCCACCGCTGGTTCACTTTCACATTAGCTTAGCATATGGCTCAACGTTATATTTTATTGCAGCCTTCGCGGCAACCGATTGCATCAAAAGCCGTAAAGCCAGTTTTCTCTCGATTGAGCGAGCACGATATACAAGTCAAAATTGTTATTTAAAGTGTACTTTTTGAAAGAAAGAAGAAGAATATTATTCGTAATATTTCCGTTCGTAATATTTCTAATATGAAACAAATCGATGGTATGGACAATGAACCCGATAGAGTTGCATCCTCCTACGAGCGATGCGTGCGAGTGCAAATTGAACGAGCCGCCATATTGAGTAGCGTATTGTAAAATTTATATTGATGTGTTGATGGAGAGAGAAGATAAAACGGTTCGGAGAAACTTGACAAGGAGGCGAGTAAAAACGGAGAGAAATGGTAGCAACTATCTGCCTCCTATGGACACCCGCGGCTTCCTATTGATTGATTCGCGCGAGTCACGTTCGCGGTTCGTTAATAACGAACGAACATTCGTGACTTCGTGACGGGGGCTTCCATAAGTTCAGTGTTTGAAGAAGAGATATCGTGAGCACAACGGGAGAACGTGGAGAGCGCGCGCCACGAAATCCAGGATTGCCGCTCACGATCGTCTCGCTCGCGAGGATCCAAGCCCTGGGTTTCGAGTCACGGATAACGTCTACCGGGTCGACCTCCACGCTTCGTGCATCCTCGCGGCGTGACTGCTCGACTATGTTCACGTGAAAAGTTGCTCTGCACGTGCGCATACCGAAGAGAATCCCGAGCGAGTTTGCACGGATCGAGAGAAGAAAGTATATACAACAGAATATAGAAGTATAATCTATATCACTGATGTGGCTGTATTGCCATATTAGTTGGAGTTTCTAGGAATTATAAATACGATCTAAATAGTATATATATTGTAAATATCATTATTACAAAAATATGTTACAAAATTATTTATAAAGACTAATTAAATTTTTTAAGTCAAAATAAAATTCTCTGTTTATTTTTTTGTATATAGTTGTAACTGCTTAATCTCAAATAACGTGTATTTAAAGTTATAGCGCTACCATCACATATATTCAACGCAGAAATGTTAATAACGACAAAAATTTTGCATTCATTACACCAGCTTCTAACCTTCCAACTTCCTTCATGAAAACTGATCCTTCTCATAATTTTTCAACGTGCGTTATGTATTTCTTCTTTGTATATCAGCGTGACGAATCATATGGGTATTATCTTTCAAGCCGTTCCGACCGAGAACAAATTGCTGGTGGCGTTATGGGAAGCTCAGCGACTCCACGGTGGACATTCTCCGGGTTTTGTCGAGAGATAATCAATAATGGTCGCCTCTATCCTGTAGGTAAGATTACCAGGATGCTGCCAGGACTAATCAATGCCTCCACCGGCCGAGCACGCTCCGACCGATCCACGGCGCGGATCGCAAATTGACGGTTCCGTCGAGGAATCGAGCGAGCAAGCGGTAGGCAAGAGCCTGATCGTGGATCGCAACCGCTGCAGCGCGACCGTGAATAAGGTAACTAGTACTTGAAGAGGATAAACCGCCGAAGAACGCGGCACTGAAGCGGAGATTGCGAAGATAAGCGAGTCCACCGTGGCATTGTGCCGCCCCGAAGCCCCTCCGTGTTAAAGTCGCGCGAGGATTCTTATCCTCGAGATCTATTCCTGCCGAACGACATACGTCGCTTTGAAAGCGGCGCCGGTACCATTTTTGAGGGAACGAAGGCGTCGATAATGGTCTATACGGAAACGTGCCATGCATGGAAAATTTAAAACATTTAGATTATATGTATTTATATAACGAATTTTTTAGAATATAATGTAAATTTTATATATGACGAATATTTTTAATCAAATATCTTATATCGGCAAATGAAATAAAAAGAAATACTATTTGAACATGTAATTTGTAAGATGCCAATTGAAGTAATCTCATAAACAGCGTGATTCGTTTGTCTGGTATGGCACAGTCTGATTTGACAATTCCGTGACAGGATCCTTAAACCCATCATGTTCCTTTGTATAGAGTAAATAATTTTGTTGGAAATCGCCTAGTTATAATTGTCTTCAGCGACAGTTCAAAATCAAATGAGTGTTTCTAATAATGTATGATTTTGTATAACCCTGTATGAGCCGTGTAGCTCTCATTAAGATTATAAAATGAATCATTTAAAACACATTCGTGGCATAAGCGTTCGTGCTTCATCTAGTAAGTTTTATCCAAGTATAATTTATTCAAAAATTTTTCTGTAAAACATTTTTTTCCACGTATATCTATAATATTCTAAAAATATTATATTTATCACAATTTTCGTGATAAGTATTACATGTAGATAATATACCGCATCGCGCAAAGGAAACTATATTTCAATCTCATCTTGCTTTTGTCATTTAAGATTTTTTCAAGATATATTTTCAAGAGAATAATAAATTATATGTTAAATAAATAATATAAATACAGATTTAATTATTATTATTATTATTGTATAGACTCTGCTTTGCCATTGCATTATGGACATTATGGACAGCATGCTGATATATATTTCGAGAATTGCAAGTTGAAATCGCCACTGTTACGGTCAACTCCGTTATTCGCAACAAAGAAAAGTCATGGTGTTGACGCCAAATATTTGGGACAATTTCGTCAAGACAGCCTACGACTTATTTCCAAAGAGAGCAAAACGATTTGCAAGCAACGTAATAAAACCAAGTCTAGCGTGACTTCGTTAAAGAAGAAATCATCGATGCATAAGAAATTGCCATCGGAGAGTGTAGCGAAAAGAGTGTGCCATTATTCTACGTGCCAGAATACCAAATTTAATAGCGACGGAATTAGCAAACGGCCCGTGCCTCAAGGCGATGCGATAATAAATGGCGCGAAGAATCGTCGCAGTAGTTTCATTGCGTCTGTTGAGAAACATCCTCGATCGTACGCAGAAATGATAGCCGATTACAGCGAATCTCTGTATAAGGAGTCTACTGTGGGTGCACGAAATAATAGTTTCCATTTCAACAATGCAATACGCAAGAGTCCATTCAGTACTTTCACGGTTTCACCTCCGGCTAAGAAAATTATGAACGTTGCTGAGTACAGTAAACTTTCCAATAAAAGATCAAAAAATGGTTTCACTCTCCCCCTTAAATCGTTTGATTTTTGCAATCGATCGAACGATATAAACAACATAAACACTATTGAACATTACGATTTTCAACATCACGGTACGTGCACTGCAGAAGCAATGAATAAAAATATGAACGAATATCGGAGCTGCGCTACTGCAAACAACTCGAAGTGCGACGATCAATCTTACGCGAAATTGATTGCTGATTGCAGTAAGTCCATACATAATTTTCCTATTACAAGTGTTTTGAACGATGGCTTAGTACCAAACCGGAATGTATCGGCAAGGAATTCTTTTGAATCTATCGCCACTCCGACGAGGAAAACGACGGAAGAGACATCGCGAAAGGTATCTCCTATTATTAGCGCAATGCTATTCGAGAAAAATGAAAAAGTAATTGATTTGGAGGAAAACGATTTGTTAAGAGAAATGGAAAACGTGATGAGTGACATGAAGAGTGTAGCCGGGAGAAAAGTCGCAAGAGTTGACGTTTCTAAGATGAAAGAAAGTGATATTCTGCAATCAGTGGATGCATCTGGTAAGTCGCCGGATCGAAATCACGGACTCCGAGAGTTTACTAAATCTAAAAAGGAGAAAAATGCAGTAACCAAGAAGTTGAGCTATCAGTCTGACAAGCTCAGTAAAATGGAAAAGCGCAGGAAGGATCTCGAGTTGCAAAAGCACAATTATTCGCACTCGAGTGACAAGACCTCGAGTCCGCCGCAACATTTCGGCAACGCGGCGAAGCGGGAAAGTTCAACCGTACGGAAGAATTCCACGCAAGTGTCAACTGACGGCGATACCGGCATGTTGAAGCAGCCGCAGGTGAAACTGCACATGGTGCCTTCCGAAAGAGAATCCGTTGTATCCATCAACGTGGACCAAGCTTCGTTTGGATTGTTGGATCCTCCAAACTCCGCTGCCAAACATCTCTCCGTCGTCGTGCAATCTGATCGAAAGGAAGATCTACACTTAACGGACAACCAATGGAACGCTCGGGCGCCTCAACGTACGAAAAGTGCATTGCAGCCCGGTGGTTTTGGCCCAATGCGTATTTCGATTAGCGAGGATACTGCGCCGATCAAACAGATTGAGTTTTCAATCAATGGCAAACCGGTTTCCGAGCTGAAGAGCATCACTGCGCGAACGGAGAGACTAGACGTGGTGAGTTCCGTCGACAAAATCGAGATCAGGATACCGTTTGCCAAGGACGACTCGAATGAATCGGACAAGACCGGAGACCTATCGAAAGGAATCAATGCGAGTTTAGGGCAGATACTGAACGTGCAGATATCTGCCAATTTTCAGGACCAACATACGAAAGACGGTAGCGTCGAGAATCCGGCAAAAACAATGCGAAACCAATACGATAGAGACTCGGTACCGAGATCGTCAATTTCTAAATCTCCTTATTTGTCTAACAATTTCCCAAAAGCTCGTGATGAAACTCTTAGCAGCAATAATTATGTACAACAACAGTCTACTAAACGAATGGATAGTAAATTTGAAAATACTGAAAAAAATATCAATGAATACAAAATTTCAGGTGATGTTGATAAAATCCAACGTGGAACGATGAAAGATTTATCAGCTGGTAAAACAAACACAATAACAGGCACTTCATTGATCAGAGAAATAAACAATGTTAAAGTTGCAGGTTTGAATATGAGAAGAGCTTCTGACAATCGCGTTCCTTCGAATACGATTCCTTGGTGGTCCTCCTCGGATTCCTTCAATAAGATAAGAAAAAAGGAAAATAATCACAAACCGCTTGTGCCAACAAATCGAAACAAACAGAAAGTTTCAAGTTTGAATCAGAACCTTGTTAATGAATCTTTACTGTCAAAACCGAAAGAAACATCGAATTCAAAGACATCAATGAAGAAAAGTCAATCGATGAATACCACAAGTGATTCTAGTAATACAATTTCTTATTCAAGTTCTATGAAGCCGTATGAAGATCCTAAATCAACTTTTCATCATGCATATTCATTTAGATTAAAACCAAACAAAGGAAATTCCGGTATTATCCCTGAAATTATAAGAAACGATTTGAATGCTAAAGATAATCAGGCATTAACTGCGAAGAAAGACATCAATAAAATTTCCGGAATTAAACAAACGGAATCAATTACATTATTTAGATCTGATACGATGAGTATAAAAAGTAAGCATAACGTAAACAAAGAAAAGACATCTGTATTACGAAAGAAACTGAAGACACCGAGTAGTGCGCAGAATTTATCGCCAAAAGGACATCAAGAGAAGAAGAATAATTATTCGTTAAAATCGACAAGATCAATTGATGACGTATCTAAAAATTTTAAATCTAAAATAAAAGATATTTTGGATGCCATAAAACCGATCGAAAAAAGTAAAAACAGCACTTTAATCGATTGTGATTTAAAGAGAGATATGCCATCGAGAAATTCAACAGCAATCTTAAATAGTGATTTAAAGAGAGATATGCCATCGAGAAATTCAACAGCAATCTTAAATAGTGGAGTGAAAGAAATTCAAAATCCGGTAATTACAACAAAGGATTTTATCCTAAATTCATCTACGGCGGAAATAATATCAAAGAAGATTGATAAAACAATATTAACAAAGCAAATAGAATCTAATACAGAGAAATTAAGACCAAAAATGGATATTTCGTTGAAGAAAAAAGATTTAACAATGAAAAACGATGCGACCATAAACATTAAAGCGCTGAATAAAAACAATGTTAAGAATATAAAAGAGTCACGTAAGAATGAATTTACGAATTCGAGTTCTCCGAATTTTAGGAATTCGCCGGAATTAATGCAAACATTTAAAAAACAGGAACAATCAGCTAACAATAGCATGATTTTTCAAGATAAATTGAAACAGGATTTAAAATCATTAGAGGCAAATAAAAATGGACCGAATTCTTTGTTAAATAAAAAAACTTCTTCGGGAATAATGCAAAGATCAGAAAAATTGGGAATCTCAGAAAAGGTACCATCAGCAGGGTTAAAGCAAAATAGACCGAAGAGTTTAACAAGCATAAAAAATACTCTAGAAACAATTCAAGAATTCGAAAAATTAGAAAACTTGACATCAAAATTGGCTAATACATCCAAAGAGTCTTCGGATACGACAGATAAATTGCAAATCACAAAACAAATACAATTAAAATCGCCTAAAAATACGAATACGGACAAAATTGCCAATATAAATAAGCTGTTCTCCTCACAGACAAAAGATCAAGTATCCGAAAATTTAACAGATAAAATTACAGGAGAAATTTCTCAATCTATGAAAACTAAAAGGACCAAAGTGGGAGACATGATAGCCAAGATCGCAACGCAACATCCCAAGAGTAAGGATTCCTTATCAAAAGATTGTGAGGAAAATTGCTTCAGTAAATCAGGATTGGGCAAAAGACATTTTTCGGGATCAACTGGCCCTTCGAGGAAGTCAAATGATTCAATTGGTTTCAAGTCGGATGGTTCAAAAACGAAATCCAGGGTAATGTCAAACAACAATTGCACTTATGAGAGAAAACTGTTTATAAAATCATTCTATTCAAATTTTAATAGGAAGAATGATATTATAAATTCGCAGTCAGCCACGTTCGAAGTCTGCCCAAATTTAAACGATGTTGATATGTTAGAATATCCTGCGTCAACTGCAATCGGAAGTGACGGATCGTGGATTAATATGGACAGACCAGAGAAAAGTATACTATACTCCGCGTGGTTACAACGACCCGAAAACGATATCAAGAAGAACAAGAAATTATTTTAATTATGTATTTTGTTAAGAGAAATTTCACACGTAGAGATTTGTTAAAACATATTATTTATGATACTTTATGTCAAATCATGTGTACTTTAACAGCATCGTTTATTGACGCACATTGCATTGTTAATTCTTGAGAAATGTTTTAATGATTAATATTCCCTATAAAAAATTATTAGATGAAATAAAGAATTTCTCGCCGAAGAGACACGCGCGCACATGCGTTGCATTATTTAATGTTGTAATCGAATTCCTTGATCCCGCTAGAGACTGGAACGCGCGAGTGCTTGATGGTAAAACTTCGATGGCTTGCATAAAGGTAATCGCTTCTCTGATGGCTTTGCGTTCCACTGAAGGGACTCGCCGAGAAAACGCTGGATTGGGTAATTAAAATTCTCATTAAAGCCGCCGGCGGCATCTTGAAACGCGCCGCGGACAATAGGCTCGAAACGAAGTCGCGGGCCGCAGGGGTAGGACTCTGACCGTGCTGAGAAGGGAGGGCAGAGGATGCATGAAGCCAATTGGCTATGATGAAGGAAGAAACCTACGTCAAACTCGTATTTAAAATCGAGATATTTCAAGACTGCTTCACGTTTAGACTTTCCTCACCGTTATTTACATCGATTTTGTTATTTCCAATCATAAAATTCGGTCATTTATGCTAAGAATTTTATATCAAATTCAAAATTCTGGGTTATTTTCACCTCTAAATATTTCTATATATAATACATATACGAGATGTATGAAGATTATGTAAATCTTATTATTTTATTATACTTGTGGAAATGTTAATTCATTATGATTGATTATGATTCTTCAATTGATTTCTTTTATAATCTAAAAATTAAACATAAATTAAATTAATATCGAATGAAAGTATACATCCGATAAATTGTTTTTTCTCGTTGCTTTATTACAATGAGATTGATTTTTTAATGCAATCACATAATTGCCAAGTACTATTCGAAAGTGCATTTTTATCTTTCTCCAACGTTCGAGCAAACGATCGAAGCAACACGTATGCACGAACTCGATCCTCCGGGTCATGCTATCGGTGCGGCGCGATACCCGTCATTATGCCAATTCGCGACGGGCACCAATTTGGGGCCTCCGACGTGAGGGCCTTCGAAGACTCGTCGAAGATGGTGCCCCATCATCGAAGGGCGCCGTGGTCCGTGCCACGTCCCGTGCGCGCGAATGAGAAACCCATTATTACACACGCGTTTCACCGCGAGCATAGCCCTGTTCTGGCAGCTCGCTAGTCATTCGAAGTAATGCATCCTGATTGTCAGGGTCAAGCGAGGCTTTATCGACAGCTGCGCGTCGAATATCTTTCGTCCGCAGTTCTATATATAGTTCTATAGTGCCTGGTTGTCCAACAATGTTGTTGAAACTCCGATTAACAATTTTGTTTCTTTATATCATAAACAAGAGGGTTTAATTTGATAATAGAAATGACTATACACAAGATACATTTATATCATGAATCATAATTGATTATGTAGCATAAATAAAATCAGAATATTGTATAATTTAATAAGATTTGAAGTGTATAGATGTATGTCTTTCCATTCGAATACTTTGACTTCAGTTCTCCTAATGAGTTAATCGAAGATCAGCAGAGATTGTCAGAACACGCGTCACACTGCGGCGACTGCCGAAAAAAAATATAAAACGCTGTATTTCGCTTCTAATTTATTGTGTGTCGTCGAACGAAATAAAGAAACGCTGGCGTAAAATATTATCGTGTTGCGCGAAGCTCGCATGCACGCGAGTCCTAGCCGGCGATAAGGCCGTTAATTATCGAGAGCGACGAGGAGCAATCCTTCATATAGCCAGGAATGCAGATGAGTCCTTTTTTTTTTTTCGCTACTCGGCATTCATCTTGAGATCTTCTGACGGTCGCTCCTGCCTCCACCCTCCTGCCATCGCTTTCCTCCGCGCGGCAACGAAAGTTGATCTGACCCCACGAGAGTCCGGTTCAACCCTGCCCTTCGCCTCTCCCCCCCCCCCATCCACCCGCTCTGCCTACCCCAGCTGCTGCGTCAGGCCTCGGTTTGATTTATCACGGCGTTGCCAGCAGCCTCTTATAAATGTTCAGGAACAACCCTACTGCTACGTCCATCGTTCATCGCGGCGGAACGCAGAGGATTCCACGGAGTCCCGCTGACTTTTCCTCGCGTCCTTGAACGAACATCAGGTAGAAATCTCGAGAACTCCCCGCCCCTTTTGCGATGATATCAAGAGAAATATCCATTTGAGAATTGCCACAAATGGAATATACCTTCTCACGAATTATAATAATAAAATGCAGACTCCAAATTATTTTCAGTATATGTATACACAACGTGATTTTTGTATTTTATTTTATAAAAATATAGAAGTGTCACGAGCTGTTATTAAAAATTGTTGAATAATTACTCCGAAGAGGTTGAAGGATATTAATATGAAAAATATTGCAACCGTCGCAATTATCTGTTCTTTGCAATCAATGAAAAATGATTATTCCATACACAATTTTCATTCTCATTTATCTCAGCGTGCTCAGTATGGTACGAGAAGGCTGCGCTGTTTGTGTGCAACGCAATCGTAAAAGCAGGTTACAATCATTGAATACCCGGATATGCGTGCATTCTTGAATATATTTTTAGCAATTGCATAAATGAGTAATTGATATTGAAATCCTTTCCTCAGGGAAAATTTTATGTACATAAATAATTTTTAACACATAAAAATATATTGTTTTAGAATTAAATTAAAGAATAATATGATTCCAAATATACGTTTTAATTATCAAGCTTAAACTTAAGTAAAGGGTCACAAAATTGTTAAAAACAAAATAAAATTACAGAGTGATTATGTATTTTTTTGACAGAAAATATTTAGTAGAAAAAAGTACGTGTGTCCGAAGAAATATCAATTTCTGTGGTAGAATTGCGTGTATCATTTTTTATGTATGTGCATACGAGTTGCATACTATGCATGAGCTTTGAGCTGCAAGGACGATGTGGCCCCCACCGCCTACCTCAGGCGCTTCAAATTGGCCTTTGTTTGTTTTAATTATGCAATGTCTATTAAATCGGTCTCATTTGTTGCGCACCATGTAATACTGCGTCATATATCTTTTGACACATTACGGCTACCAACAGCGAGCAATATTAATTGCGCGCAGCGAAAACATTTCGTACTATTGCTCACCGTCAAGAATTCATAATTTTTTTTTGCAAGAGACTGAATCATTTGATAAATTATTTATAAACTCTACCTTCGGAGAAAGATTACTCAAAGAATCGTTCGCGTAAATCTTTTTTTTCTTCTTGTAATTAAATATTAGTAAAAAATTAGTGTGTTCATGTTGTTTTCAAAATCAGAATTTGAGCATCCATTGAATTGAGAATCCATTGAATTAGCATCCATTCTTTAAAATTGGTTTTTTCTGTATTAAAAACGCATAAGTATGTACATACTTATGATACCGTATGACTGTGCATGTACATAACACATATATCAACGGTTACACGTGCGCCTTACGAGCGGCTTACTTAATGAGGGATTATAATCTCAGCGAGAGATTTCTCTCAGAGCCGAAGTCTTCTATCTTTCTTATCTACTTTTTGACCATCCTCTTTACTCGGTGTAATCCTCCCCCTTTTCGTTCGCGCAGAATTAATTATAATACTTTTCTTTATACGGGGATGAACTTCATAATCATTTTCGTCGATCCTCCACGATGCCTATCTAATCCTTTCGGATTAAGAATTCTTTATGGAAGATTGAAAAAAAAAGAGTAAAAAAAGCAAAGAGAAGAAGCAGAGAGAGAAAGGAGGAAAAGAAGAAAGAAGAAGGCGCAGATTTTGTTCTGCGCAGGTTCGAATTTCGATCATGTTCATTACGCGGCAGAAGCAGGGAGAGAAGAGGAACAGAAAAAAGGTAGCAGAGATTATATAAAACATATTGCTTGAAAACAATTACAATAGAGGTAGTAATTGCAATTGTAATATTTCCGTATTATTTATTAAATAGCTTTGAATTTTTTAAACAATTTTTTTCTAGAGCGCATTGTTTGTAAAATAACCGTTAATTATTTTTGTACAATAAATATCTATATAGTTTAAATATACAATTTATGAGGAGGTTTAAAATATGTGAACCGTAAATAAGGATAACAAATTTTTGCAATAAAATAAAGATAAATAATGGTTAGCTTACAGAAAGACGCATTATAAATGGCGAGGTAGGCAAATTTAGGCTTAAACCGATCCTGGTCCCACTGTCATTTCGTGCGTACTTGGCTCTCGTAAGTCTCTCTCCGGTTTTTACGTATAGCCCCGACCGGACGATCGAGTGCTCCTTAATCCCCTAGCGATGGAGGCGAAGGGGCTTAGGAGAGAGACATCGAGAGAAGGCAGAAAAAGCCGTATCCAGATAAAGTCGCGAAATCGAGCCGGCCGCCGCGCCGCCGAGCAAACTAATCCGCTTACGGTGATGCTGCGCGCGATGAAGGCGAGGAATGCGCCGACATTCGCGGTATAACGAAATCTCAGTAGATAAGAGTCTTAAGTCGCGAAGTTATAGAAACATCAAGGGGCGAGCGATACGTGCTCGCCGCTAGCAAGCTTAACTCTAATGGGGTTGAACGACACGAACGAGATGATGATACAAATCGTATAGCGATATCAAGGACTTGCGTTGCGTTGATTGAGGTTTTTGCAAGAACTCTAGAAGTACCTGTAGCCGTAATTTATATAATAATCATCGTTTACAGATTTTTACGATTCTAATAATTAAGGTTACAAGTACGAATAAGTATAAATATTAGGCAAATATGTATAAATTCGAAAAAAAATTGAAGAACAAATATTCTTAATATCAGTGCAATGTGCTTAAATTCCTATTAAATTGCGACATCAAGGACAACTTTTGGTAAAAATTTTTAAATTTTGCAATAGACGAAATTTATCTTAATAATATCAAATGTTTAAATTTCATTTCTATGATATTTTTATTCAATAATAACAACAAAATATCTCTGCATTAGTAAATGGTATTAAATTTAATAAAGTTTAATTTCTTCTATTTCTTCTACTTAAAGATTCTAGGGAGGGTTTCAACTTGCACTCCTTCCGTTTACATCAACGTCCCTGTCAGCGTGGTCTATAAACAGGCGTGCATTCACGGCGCTAATTGAGTGCGCATTGATACGTCGCCCCGCAATAAA